ACTCCAGCTTCTTTCAATTCCTTACGAAATAATGTAAGACGTGAGCTGGATGCGACAATTTCTTCATCACTATCATTCTTTGTCTCGATTAAATCTAAAGCATGAAAGTAAATATCATATGGATCTCCAGTTTTCGCACAGTATTGGGCTCTCTCTTTGATAGTAAGTTTTTCATTCCTTTTATCTGGTACAAGAGCCTTGATCTGGTCTTCTTTGAATGAGCGTCGGCGAAGAGCTTCTTTTACGCTTTTGCGGGCTTTCCAATTTGGAAGCATAGCACTGAGTTCACTGGCATAGTCACGTAATTGAGATGGGTCGGATTCGGCGGACAAGTTATATTTTTCTAGGAACAGATCCAAAATTGAGGTAAAGTTATTAGTTCTGGGCTTTCGGGTTTTTGAGGCAGTTGCCATGATCATATTGATAATATATTTGACAAGTAGATCGTGATTATCCATTGACCTACTTATTCTTTCAAATTCGAAATTAATTACCCGCCCCTTCGATAATGCTTCGCGGAGTACACATGCTCTAGATCTTAGGAGATATGACTGCCTTATCCATGGATGAAAAAGTAATAAACCTAGACTATAGGTCGTACCCAAAACCTGGCAAGTCCGGTATACGATTCTCAATCATAGCAATTTGTATACACAATTTATCCTGCTTTTTTCTGTTGTGATTCTCTCTACTTTTATATTTGCCTACATGATCATTGCATGCATTATATTTAGACCTATTTGACTCGCCACAATCTCTACAAGGAGTAATTACTGGAGATTTACGATGGATATAACATTTTTCTGATTTACTATTTCGACCACAGATTTCTCCAGTTCTACAAATTTGTGAGCAATTGTATAATTTCATCATAAGTATATATAATAAACTTCAATCAAATTTTTGGAATAATTAATTTTATTTTAAAGATTTATCTATCGATTATATAGTTTCAAAATAATACTACATATACTTTTTGTCAGATCAAACAACACGCATATAGAAACAACGCATATATACAAATCAATACATGAGTTTGTCTAGTGAAGCAAAAAAACGTCTTCGTGAATCATTACAACAACACTGCTTAAATCAAAAATCAGCCGAATATGAGGAGGTAAAAAAGCTTCTTACAGGTTTAACGAATCTTGATTACTCACGGAGTGAGGACACTAATGGACCTAAACCTGACCATGGAAAACATACGTATCATAAATATTGGCTTAAATCCAATGGAAATGATACTGCTCTTTTGGAAGTATACAAACCCGAAGAGCTTTATTCCCAATATATAATTCGAGTGGCAGAAAAGGGTTTTACTATAGTTGATCATCCATCCAAAGTTTATGGGTTACCCGACACCCACGAATGTATTGATGGAAGTCTACCTCTTCACCCAGTTCTGGACATCGATGCAAGGCAGTACCCCGATCCCATGAATTCTGAACTCCCTTCCTTAGATAGATATAAAATTTCTCGTGAAGATTTATTATCCAGAATCTTAATTGCCTGTGCCGATATTATATATACCAATTTAAAACACCACATAACTTTAAATGATTTTGCCTTAGCTAGTTCGTCTAATGCCAATAAATGTAGCTGGCATATTGTATATCCCCATGCCCGTTTTATTGACTATAGAGATCTTAAGGGTTTTGTGGAAAAAGTTGCTAATAGGATTGGAAAGCCATACTCAGAATTTATTGATATAGGACTCTATAAATCTCGCTTCAGTCTTCGTCTTCTTGGGTCGGCAAAGGGTGATAGAATTAAAAGACCTACAATTTCTTCAGTTAAGAAAGGATATCGTAAGCTAGAAGATTATCTAGTTCAACCTAGGTTTGATATTTCTGAAATCTGGCCACGAACCTTCTCTCCAGAGGAGCCAGTAAAACAAGAATTCCAACCCATCGATGATGAAAATGCTTTGGTGAATGGGGCTAATATGGTTATTGAAAAATATGGGTGGCTCCAGATTGGAAGAACTGAGAAAGGATTCGTTAACTTTCAAGCACAATCCGTTAAAGAATGCCCTATATGTGACGTTAAACATGATAAGGATCAACTCTATGGATTCATTCGAAAAAATGGGCGTTTTATACTTAAGTGCTATCGACAAAAACAATATAAGCCAGATCATAAGGGATTAAGCTTTGAAAAGGTATCAGATAAAGTCGAATCGAAAGAAAAGCCTAAGTGGGGATTAATTGAAAGATTACCCAAGGCTGTATCAACTCCACGCCCACTTGTAGAATTATCTGGAAAAATCATTAATGTAAAGGAAATGAAAGATGCACCAGAAGCTTACCCTGATTTCTTAAGCGAGGAACTCACTACAACTCTTATTCGCTCACCTGTTGCTAGTGGCAAAACAAAAACATTAAGAGAAATCCTCGATTCTTTAGCTAAAAGTGGAGTGGATTTACCTTGTTTTAACTGGGTTTCATATCGTAAAACTCTTAGTAATGAAACTAAAAGTAAAATCGAAGTATTACAGAAATCCGGGCTTCGTGTGTGCCATTATCAGGAAAATGAAGGCAATTTAGCTATACGTGACTGGGATGTTATTATTGTTCAGGTCGAAAGTACACATCGTCTTAATTTCCATGGGGGTCGTTCTCATGTAGTTATTTTAGATGAAGCGAATGGTATTATGCGTCAAATGGCAAGTGGAATCCATGCACGAGAATCTGAAAATGCCATGCGGGATTTGTTAAAGTCGGCTGTTCACGTGGTTGCCATGGATGCTTTTGCAAATGAGTCGACTTTAGCCTTCTTAAGACAATACCGGGGTGAAAACATCCGAGTTTTTGATAATAAGTATCAGCCACGTAAAAGTGAGACCGTAAAAATCCTTTATGATTCAAATAAAGGTTCAGAAGCTATACGTAAAGGTCTTGAGATGCTTAAAGAAGGTAAGCGTGTTGTCTTTTCAATGACCTCCTGCAAAAAGGCTCGGGCAATAGCTAATCAAGCATCTAAGTTGCAAAAACCAGACGGTTCATGCGTTTTATCACGAGTTTATTTTAGTCAAATGGATGAAAAACAACGCCAGGATGACTTTGCTGATATTAATGCTACCTGGAGTGGCCTTGATTGTGTAATCTATACAAGTACTGTGGAGTCAGGCATCTCGTTCGAAATTCCTAACTATTTTGATGCAGTTATAGCAATTAGTAATATTAATACAGGAGTACACGTTGAAGCATTTGCTCAGATGCTTTATCGAACTCGCGATTGCCCGTATCGTATTGTTTCTCTTTACAATAGTAAAACACATTCTGAGATTTTTAAAGAACCAAATCGTGACCTTATTCGTGCAGAACTTTCGGCCTTAAGACCTGGAGATTTACCAACTGCAATAAAGGGGCGCCGTGAATGGAACAAAATTGCTGACTGTTATATACTTGATTCATCTCCGGCAGTAGAAACCTATATTGAGGTTGAATATCAGAGACGCTTATCTGCCAAATATTTTCCAGAAATTCTTTGTAGTTTGATTGCTAGTACTGGAGCATCGCTAGAATTAATCACAGTAGAAGATACCAAATTAGCCAAAGCTTCTCGTACAGAAGTATTTCATACTATTAAGAATACTGAAGAAAGGATCAAAAGTTCTGATGCAGAATTAATAGTCAATGCTCCAGATATCAATCCTAATGAAGCTGAAATGCTTAAGCTAAATCCTGAACGTTCTTTTGCTGATAACATGACCCTGCAACGACATTATTTATGGAGAACATATGCTTCAGGCGATATTGGAGGTAAGGATGATATTCGAAACTGGGGTATGAATAATGATGATTGGATCAAACTTTGTGATATAGATTTCGTGAAAAGATATAATAATCCTGAACCTTTACAACATTTTAGGAGGCTGGCATATTATCGAAGACAAGGTTCAGATGAAGTAAAGGCTTTGGAAAATCTGAAAATCAAAGAAGCAATGCAATGGGAAGAATCACAAGATTCTATGAATCCGGCCTCAAACGATTTACATAAATTTTATTCAGTAAAACAATGGGAGGCAGTACGAGATCTTTTCCAATCAATAGGATTTAGCGGTATTGATGATACAAAGATTCTTTCTGGCGATGATGTGGCAAAGGCTTTTGAGCAATCATGTGAAGAAGTTGTCAAAATTCGAGAAGATGCACGATTACTCTTTGGCTTTAAGACCAGAGCTAAAGGAACGCCCGATCTCAATGCTACAATAAAGTTTATTAATGCAATAGCTGGAAATTGGTGTGGATATACTGTCAAAAGTGATGAAACTCGTGTAGGTTCCAAGGGGCATCAAGTACGGAAGCGCACTTATTGGATTGATCATAAAGCATATGATGGATGTGGTTTTGAAACTCTAGAAGAAATAAGGGCTATAAAGGTTAATAATTCTAAATATCTCCCTATAGCTCCAATTATTCCACCATACAAACCAGAACCGATTGATGAAACTCAAAAACTTTTTGATTCAATACCAACTACTGATATTACCACTTCAGAGGAAGCAAAGCTTCGATGTTCTACATCATCCATTAATGAGGTTTGTAAAGAAAGTTCTTGCCATAATGTAATTGAGGAATCCATGACAAATTTACTTCAATCGCCTTCTACGATATCAACTCAAGATCAATTAAATGATTTCGAGCAATTCTCAAGTATTACTGAAACTAAGAAAGAGATACTTGAACCCTTAATCACGAAGCGTCTGCCTCCAGAAATTTCTTTATCTTCAGAATATCTCATCAAAAACGAATCTGATATAGATATCCTTATCCTTCTTTTACAACAAAAATATCAAATGTCTCAAGAAAAATTAGATCAATGGAGAAGAAAGATTACCTTTGAATTTCGGGATAATACCAGTTACTGGAAAAAAGAGCGCGAAAGCATGAATGAAATTGATTTTCTAGAACATAAACGAAATTTTGAGGCTAAAATGAAGGTCCCTACTACTCCGCATAAAAAAGAACTGAAAAATAAATCTCTAGCAATCATTGAATATGCATAATCGTTATAAATCTTTTAATAAAGCAAGCCTAAGGTACTAAGACAATATCATCTAGTTAAGTAGTAATTTCTGAAGAAGAGAGATTGCTACATTCGACTAGATATATATCTCAGGTAAGGGTTTTTGTCGCCTCTTACAATAAGCATTTAGAAAAATTTAAATCAAAAATTAATACTTCGATAGCTAGATCATATATGAGGGTTTTTGTGTCGGGAAATTTCCATCAAGGTACGCTTCCAGGTAAGAGATCGTGTTACAAAATAA